ATTACTGTGTGGTGGATGTTCTCCCCTGGGGTGGGATGGGTGGGTTTGCTGGGCCCGCAGTAATTGGCGCAAGCTGTTGCGGTGTCCCTGCCTGTTGGCGAAGCTAATAAACTAAACTAAACTCAACTCAATAAAATCAAATTTAGTAAATAACTTTATAATCAAGTCCAAATAATTTACCAGGTAGAAGAGACACAACAGTGAGAGACACAGTTAGCACAGACATCAGGATCTTGTCGGCAAGTGGATCTAAAACTGTGCCCAATACTGACTTCTGGTTTTTAAAATTTCTTGCTATGAATCCATCAAGCTATAGGAATACAGAGATGTATGGTTATGATTCACCTTAAATTCTTCTTATCATTTTTCTTACGCTGACACCTTTGGATTTCTTTTGTTCCCTAGTTCACGTATGCTTTAATGTGCAGGGCCCAGTTGTTCGAAGGCAGACAAGCGCTAACCCAAGGTTAAAATTTAATCCAGGTTTCTATATTTCTCTGTTCAAGAACCGTTTTGGGGTAATTTTTCTAAATATTTTTAGAGCATTCAATCATCAAATTGTAGACAAATGGAATTAAAATAAATTTGTTTGGAAGGCTTTTACATCTGAAATCAAATTTTACTCTAACCCTGGGTTATCTTAACCCATTTTTGAACAACCTGGCCCTGATCAATTGGAAGCTTCAACAAAGACTTGACACTTCAGGTTAAGATTTCCCAGCCCCAGCAAGGCAAGGTTAAAATTTCCCAACTCCCAGGACAAAGGAAAGTAAAAGTCAGGGTATAAATGGAAGCTGGGGTGTACATACAGATTCTAATCACCTACTTCCAGCACTGGATTATGAAAAAGAGTCTAAACAGAAGAGGTTCATGATAATGAAGACATTACAAATTTAAATGTATTAGATTAAATTATGCACTCCTTAATGTAAAGCAAAAGCAATTGGTGATAAGGTAAGATTATCCAAGTTAAAATTGACTTTAGGCATGTTGCCCTTTTTAAAAAACAGAGTTATACATGTGTCAGACCAATCAATGATTAATATTTATAAGCCTCAAAAGAAACTGATGGACATTCATATTTATTTGCCAAGAAAAAGAGTGAAGCTTTAGAAGTAAAAAAATTGTTGCTTGTCACTCTTATTCAATCCTATAGGCGCAGTTGAATATTTTTTATAGAAACTGCGCGGTATAAATTTAAATTTAATAATAATTTAATAAATTTAATCCTAATGGGCAGATATTAGAGACACAAAAACTGTGACCACAACAACTGTCCACTCATACTTTACCATGTCTGTGATACCAGCCACACCAAACAAAGTTAAGGAGCTGACAAAATCTTCTGAAACTATCAGATAACCAAGAACTGGGGTCAGCAGTATTCTGAGGGTGGACAGCAGATTCGGCACTGTATAGATATCCTCTTTCTTTAAAACAAGAATGGAATGAACCAAATTGTCCTTTAATCAATTGGCATAAATTCTTCATTAATTTGGGTGCAATGCAACTTTTATGATCACCAACATATTCATGTACACTCCAAACAAATAATTCTACATATCATTCCAATATCATAGTGTAAAAGAAAACTTGCAAAAGCTTTTAGCTGCATTGAAAAGCACAATCATGCCTATGATTTGATCATGTACAGCCTGACTGTTTTGATTGGGGTAGTCCTGACACTAAGTTTCAACAACCTAATGGAAGTCAGTATCTGAGGCAATGAAGAGCTGTTGTCAGTTGAGTGTAATAAGTCTGGTTTGGATGATCTGATTACATGATCAAAATAATTACAAAATGTCAAGCAACTTGAAAAAAAAGCCAATACCTGATGGCTGCACAGGAGGC